ACATACATATGCATATACACACACACATAGGCCTATACATAGAATGTCCTGCATAAGTGACCAATACATCAACATAATGCACGCCATCGGTGTTTGACAGTGTTACCAAAACGACTTTAACAGTAGCCCCATATCCATGAGATCGAGGTGATTGTTGCCAGGGAACGGATTTTCATAAAGAATCGTTTTCATACTGTCACAGATACCGTGATTAGAACAGTCAACGTCCTTAATGGAGCGTTTGAAGTTGCTACGATAAGTTTCATTAAATATATATTTGCGGCATAGAGAAAAGTCTGATCGATTAGCAACCTATCAAAAGCGTTCCGCCGCCCTTGTCTCATATATTTTACATTTTTGAACATTCATTTCATCACATCATTTATACTCCAGTTGAAGAGTACAAACATCATTAGGAGATCTTATTGTACGATATAACAGAGTATCATTAGCGTACATTTTAACACAGGTACTAGGTTAACAAAAAAGAAATTATGAAGTATGGGTCCCAAAACCGATCCTTGTGAAACCCCAGAATGAACAGGGGAAGGAGGAAAAGAGGCTTCTCTAAATACAACTTTCTGTGTACGGCCTAACAAGAAAGAATATATTCATTGCAAAGCATTCCCACAGATACCGAAACTTTTAAGTTTTTAAGCAGTACTGAATGAGGGACCCGATCTCACAGTTTGCCTTAAAAAAAAAATTTAAAAAAATCTTAATATTTACATTTTACTATTACGAACCTGAGACAAATTATAGTGCGTGTAATTGTTTGAGTGAAACAACTACATGAGTTTGTTGTACATGGTGCTAGCTTCCCAGGTAACACCTTTATGTTATAAGAACGTTAGTAACAATACAGTTTAGTGTAGATTTTATAGAACCATAATAATACGTCATTTCACAACTAAATAACGTTGCTGCAACGTTGAGTCAATTTTAATTTATGACATACCTAACCACAATGTTCACAAACGTTATAAGAACGTTTGTGTTTGCTCAATAGGATGATGGTGGTAACTGAACACGAAGAAGATATCGTATGTGTGACATTATTAAACAGCTGTAAACTTTTTTTGTTGACATCAGCAAAATATCACATTGAATTGAAACTTTGGTGTTGCTCTTTTAATATCAATATTAAATAATTTTGTTGACTCGATTTTGAATTGTTAGTAGAACAGGCGTAGGATTATGAAAGTTCAATGTCAGACTTCAAGAGTCAACATAATTTTATTGATATTCACCTGTTTCAATACAATAAATACAACCAAATATTCTTCTTTTTTTTTTATTGAACTTTTTATTGGATGATGTAGCATGAATAGATCTGCAATTACTTAGAATTAAGGGAGCATTATTTTATTGTATGGATATGAATCCTATGTCAAAGTATACCAAAAACAAAGAAAAAGAAATCCCATATTAAGGGTCAAAATTGACAAGACTGTTTATACAAAAATAACATGCAGTATGCCTATACAGATGTTCACTCTAAGGATTCAGGGAAGAACATTTTGGTTTATTGCTCAAAAGGTGTCAAAATATTAAGTTGAATGATTTTTTTCTTATTTTGATACTGCTGTAGGTGTTGTGATACAATGACCATTTGGCACGTCCCCTTAATAGGGGTTGGCCGTAGTGTTAACATATAGACTACCCATCGTTTCACGGAAAAGTGTTCCCTTAATAGGGGTGTCCCCCGAATAGGGATAGGGGTGTCGCAAAAGAGGGGTTCTACAGTAGAACCCCTCTTTCTGTACTACATATAAATATACATGCCCCATATACTATATACAGATTTTATAAGAACACATTTTATAAGGACACTGAGGCTGAAATCACTTCAGGGGCGTAGAGTGGTTCCCAACCAGGGAGGTGGTGGCGGGGTGGGGGGGGGGGGGGGGTGCGAAAATTGTAAATGCGGAACTACAATTAGGATCAGTGGCGTAACAAAAAGCCGGCGCTGGAAAACAAAGGAACCCCTGTGAGGGTGTGAGGGAAATCCCCAGCCGCTCCGAAGTTTGTAGCGTTTTGTAATGTATTTTAATGACTCTTTTTGGCACAATTGAGTTCTTAATTGTGTATCGTGATTTGACAAAACAAGCGTAATATAGTTTAATTAAGATACTACTTTGTTCGTCTGTAACTTAACTTCTTTTTACACATTGTTTCAATTTTTATTATATTATATCGAATTAATTATTAAATAAAATTTTAAACGTTCAATCAAAAGAATAACTAAAAAAAAATAATTTTCTAATTATTACCGTACTGTTGCTTGTGCTATTGGTATTATTGAAAAGATTGCACAGTAATTAACAAAATAATAATGTCGGCGTAATTTGCTCATAGTCATAAGTATGCGCAGTAAAGAATTATTAATTAATTATTATTAAATTATTAATTAGTTAATTATTGAACTGCCCATGCGTGTAGTAAGGAAAAACATCACATATTTGGAGGAATTCGTCTAGTGCCCCAATGTCCAACCTACGGCCCGCGGGCCAACTAAAAGCCCGCCAAAAAATTTGATCCGGCCCGCTACATTGCTCAAAAATAAATTATTTTTCTGGTCGATTTTCAGTTACTGTTGCAAAAAATTTGTCAAACAAGTGGAGACGACATTCGCATGAGTAAAAAATGCGTTAATTGTCACATAGTCTGACAGTGTTAACAAGTGTCATAGCATTTTCTGAGGCGTTTTGAGTATTATTTGACAAGGGGAAAGGGTGACTGATGGGAAATAAATAATTATATGGGGGACAGGCTCGGGATACATGAACCCGTCGGAAAATTCTGGACCTTGTGGGGAATACGCCTATATTATTTTGGGAACACTATGCTTTGAAAACGTATTTTTGACTCTAATCTGATATGTTTATTTTCAAAAACTTGCTTACTTTGTGTCCCTTTTTGGTGGTTCTCGGAATATTTGTAATGGTAGAGTAGAAATGTCGGTGCATGTTTGTTTAAAGTCCACCCCTTCTCTTCAATATTCCACTGCATAACACCCTCATTTTTAAAAAATCAAGGCCTATCACGGTTGATGTTAAGGTATGATCAATTATATGCCAGGCTCAGGCCTATACGCATTTAGCTTTTCGTTTCACCAAAAGAGTTAACAGGCGTAGAACATTTCAATACCAGCCTTTAAGAGTCAGTATAATTATATTGTTTGATATTGATTTTAAAAGAAAATTCACCTGTTTCATTAAAATAAATGTTATATTTTGGAAATATATGATAATGTGATATTATTATTATTATTATTATTATTATTATTATTATTATTAATATCATTATTTATTATTATGGCAAAATTATTTATTCTAGCGCTCAATCAAGATCAGATTATTATTATTATTATTATTAATATTATTATTATTAAAATATACAATATACAAAATATAATTCAAATCAGAAAAAAAAAATCAAACGAACAAAACATTACATAGTACAGTACATTAAATAGACCATAGTCATTAGCTGCCAGGAAAGCAGAGAAGCAGCCTAAACCACTATCACCAAATAGGTGTGTACCTCCAACTAATGACTACTAAGATAATATAAATTATATAAATGATAGATAAACACATGTGACTTAAGCATTGGCATTATTATATTTAGCCTAAGATTTATAATTACTGATGCTAATACTAATTTAAATATTACATTAGTTATACAAAATTTATATCAGAAATAAATTAATTATAGAAAACAATATATATATATATATATATATATATAT